ACACAAAGCTGACTATATTTTACATATGAAATATTTATTGAGTGGCTCTAATTTCTAAGAAGCTAAGAAATAAAACTTTTTAAATTTATTTGCGCAACCTTTTAAAGGTGATCACTGCACCTGTCAACTTATGTTTCAACCCACTCTTTAAGAGCAAACTGCTCCAGCAGGATTTTGATCAGGGCTCAGAAGGCCACTTTAAAATAACTAAAAACTGTGTGTTTTGGGTGATTATTTTTTAATATTAGCCTTTTTATTGAGAAAGCGTTATATTTTACAATAACAGTTATATTACATCACTTTTGCTTTCATTTTTATCCCCAAAAAACATCAAAACAACAACAAAAATAAACAACATAAAACTAAATACACATGAACTTGGGTGATGGTGGTGGGGTAGCCTGAATACAATCCAGTCATTTACATCACTTTTCATATCATTACATCGATCTGTATGATAGCAGTGTTTACAAAAAGTCCGACCTAATCGGTTTGACATAATTTGTCCATTTTGTCCATATTTTGTTTGGATGATTATCATGTTGGAGGCTCCATGACCTGCAACTAACACCAAACTTACTGACACTGAGCAAAACATTTCACTCCAGTGTGCCTTGGTAGTCTTGAGGTGTCATTCTACGCAGTAAAAGCTACGTTTACATGCGCAAAATTCTTTAATCGGATTGAAATATATTCAGATTTAATAATCCGAAGGTCTTGTTTATATGAGCGCAAAATTAATTAATCTGATCATGACGAGCGTTAACAGGCACCGGGCTTTTATTCAGAACAGAAGTACTGGCGTGCAGAGTTGTAAACTTTCCCTTAAGATCGAGCCGAATCAGACAAACGGTGCAATCTGACGCTGATAAAACTTGACCTTGGAGTTCACCTCTAATCTCTTTGGAATGTTTTCTGAGCTCTTTGGTTACATTTTTTTATTATCTTCTTCAATGTGTCAAACCTTTTTCTCTTTCAACATCTTCCAGAGAGGTTGGCTACAGTCCTGTGGATCTTAAACTTCTGAATAATATTTAATTAGTTCAACCTCAAAAGATTTGTCATTCGAAAGTAAGTTCAATACAGCTTACATAACATCAGTACACTAATGCAAGTGGTGATGTTGGAAATAACTAAACAAAAAGCATACACAGATCTGATAGCAGGCCTCACCTCTACTAGCTTCATCATGGGGACTGGGTTAAAAAAGTGAAGGCCACCAAATCTGTCCAGCCTGTTGGTGGAGCTGGCGATGTCCATGATGGGCAGAGAGGACGTGTTGCTGGCAAAGATGGTGTGCCTGCGACAAAAAAAAAGAAAAAAAAGCTTTCATTCTTACTTTACAACAAAGTAAAATTTTGTTGAGTTGCTGTAAAATGCAGAAAACCACTTTGGTTTTGGTCTCACTCAGTATAGTTATTAACTCATTAATCTGATTAGACTTAAAAATAAAACGGAGGTCATCCAATTAGCCATGTACAACAGGTAAGATAATTATTGTTCATTGCTCATCACTTTGTTCTATTTGGTTTTTTTGAAAACCTAACGTTTACAGCAAATGTTTTGTTTCATGCAAACTAAAGCCTCTTCTCCATTTGCAAGTCTCAATGTATTCAGCTCTGGGGTCTCATTTATAAAGGATTGCGTGGAAACCATACTAAAAGTGAACGTACGGCCAAAAGGCGGAAATGGCGTAC